ACGTGAACAGGCTGGTGGTGAGCCGTGGGCTTTGGCTTGGAGCTGCGCCTCTGGTGAATGGTTACCCAACCTCCCGGCTGCACGGGCGTTACCAGAGGACCGCTAGCGAAGGCTATGCTATGTGGCTCCGCACAGGCTACAGGGGGCTGGCTAACTACTGCAGCTACTGAATGGTTTTCCATGGTGCGGAGCCGCGATTCTAATTCACTAAGCCTCACCTCCAACGCAGCAAATAAGCTACACTTATTACAATTACCACTGTCGCTAAAGGAGGCAGAGGCATAACTGAACATTTGGCACACTGAGCAAGAAAGAGCAGAGTGAGAAGCCATTGCTAACTGTAAAGCTAATGTAGCTACCAAGGCTAGTAACGTGCAAACAACAGCTAAGAGATTAACAGGGAAGTCGTAAAAAGGAGGAGAGCTATAAGTGCTTAAACAGAACTAGTGTGGGTTAAAGCAGTACTTGAACTACATTTCTGTTTCCAGTGGCTGTGTGAAGGATGAATAGCGATGAGGTAAAGGTGGTGAATCTAATTGTGGCTAAACAATATCATATGACGATGTTGAAAATAAGAAACGTTTAACTTTGGTTTTGTACCGTATTCCCCCACCGCCCCCCCTCACCCGACTCGTCAGTCCGCACTGACGAGTTTAGAGCCTTGAAACAGATAAATAAAACGTTATGTTGGATAATTTCACAGTAAACACACGTACAGATCTCGGGAGGAAGGTGCCGCATTGCCTGAATATCAACCCTGCACAATATGCACGAATATACAGTTCAGTCTCTCAGGGAAAGTACTACTGTTCATTCTAAACAGTTTCTTCACATTGTATTGTTTCCTCTACTGTTATAATTCTATTATTAGGATTCTATATGGAGAATTATACATACATTTATTACTAAAATTACTCCATGCGAGTCTGTTATTGTCACTGTCATTTTTGAATTACTAAAAGCCAAGAAGAATTCCTGTATGTCCTTGGCAATAAAGTTCAATATGATTCTGATGCTTATTGAACATCAAATTTTTTTTACATTTGTAACGTAACATTTCTGTCTGTTGTTTTATCAGGAATTTGCTGTCCCGGACACTACCTCCACCTCTTCTGAGTTTGAGCCCCCACACACTAGTGCTGGCAGAGGCAGGGGCAGAGGGGGGAGGGGAGTAGGTGCAGGCAGAGGGAGAGGGAGGGGAAGAAGTAGGACACCAGAGGACTTGAACCCCGAGACCCAGCAGAGGGTTCAGGATCTGCACGAACGCAGAAACGCAGAGATGCAGGCCAGAATACAAACATTGGACCATAATCAAAGGGATGAGCTCCTACAAATGGTTCTTACAAGACTACCTGGCCTGATGTTTGACATTTTGGACCTGCTGGAGGACCCTGATCGTCAGAGAGTCCCAGGTGGAGGGGACCTACATGGTGCTCCTGCACAAACTGTAAGGAAATGAACACTGACCTGGAGAGACTCTGCTGTGGGCAAACCCCTGAGAACTGTGTCAGCAACATGGCCCACATGGAGCTATACATACTGGATGAAGGGGTGTTGAGAATGGCAAGGGCTGCCTGGAATGACATCTTTGCAATAGAAGATGAACAAGAGCCTGGAGTGGAGCAAAGACAAAACAGGCATACAGCCTATCACCAGTTTGTGCTCTGGCAGCATGGCCGCCTGGGCGTAGGAAATAGGGTAGTAATACCGAGTTATTGTGTCTGGAAAATAAGGGACACTTTTCCAGACCCAAGGGGACAGTACACCGGTTTCCAGGTCCGCAGACTAATGTAGTATGTCATTGTTTGAGTGTACTGTAAATAGTTTTGACAGTTTGTTATTTTGTTCAGAATTTACCTATCACTTGTTCACTTGTTTGTGTGTGTTTGAAAATAAATACATTTGTGCAAAACAAGACAAACTTTTATTTATACACCCTCTTTCACAGTTTTCAAAATTCAAGTACTTTGTCACATTCAACACATTCAAATTGTTTTTTTGCCACTTGTCCCTTCACAGTAAAGGAAGTAACGAATAAAACATAGGACCTAGAGAAAAAAGAAAAACATTTCCAGGCACATGCAGTGTTACGCAAGAAATATCATGAAAGAAAAGAGTGGCATAAATGCAATGTGCATTTTTGCAACGACGGGATATGTGTATGATTTGAATAAATAAATAGCACAACAACACTGTATTACAGTAGTAGTAAATGAACGACAATGACAGTTGAAAAAAATTACTGTGAATAAAAAACAAAACAAAAGGGGAGTGTGATGCATGTACATGGATAAATAGAGCAGGATAAAAATAAACTATGACAGTTAAAATAAGAAACACTGAATAATCTGTGTGACAATGTTAGAAGTTACTGAGAATAATTACAATGAGTGCAGTAGCAGCAGACAGTGTGGGTGGGGGTCCAGGTAAAGCTGTGATTATGTGTCTGTAGTTAGCCAGTCAGAGTGATATGATGTATGCATGTGCATTTATGTAAACATACAAGGCAGGATCCTCAGCGTTCACTTTGGGGAACACCTTCACCACGTTTCACATGCGTCCTAACTAGCTCAGCTGTTGGGGGCGGCTGTACTGAAGCCAGAACCCCTAAATTCCGGGGGTCATCTGACCTAAGGGTCTGTTTCTTGGGAAGGCCACCTCCACTTTGCAGACTCTTCCTAAGAATGCCTCTCTGCAGGTCTGGAATGTAGGAGTAATCCTTCTTTTCCTTCACTGTGTAGACACTCCAGGATTTGGACTTCTTATTGTAGTATCGCCTGTAACTGAAAGGAAGCACAAATACTAGAACACTCTTGTTTTACAACTATCAGGCAAACACTATGAGATTCCATTCAGGAGTTGTCCTTAGATATGCTAACAACTTACATCTTGTGTCCATCTTGGTTTCGTGCTGGGGCGCGGCCATTGTGACAGATGTAGTCTATCGCAGCAAGCAAAGTCCGCGTGCGATACACTGCTGGAGTGTAGAAGAACCGCTTCCCTGCATACATGAATATGTGATTCTGGAAGTTTTCCAGATCCGATGTCGTCCTCTAGAGTATGAGAACAAACATATACAAATCATTGTATACAGACCAGAGTACAATTTATTAGATAGATATTGACATTTGATATAAAAGCAAAAGTTATACCAGCTTTAGCATTTTCATTATAATGTTTTTAGTCAAACACACTGACATTAGTGTTGATAAAAGGAAAAGTGCATACCTGAAGTTGATGAATTTCCTTACATTCTTCAACCATCGCTTGTCGAGGACGATGGCTACAAGAGCCTGGTGAGCTGCTGAACCTGTAATCACACATCTAATTGTGAGATGGATAAAATTACATGCAAAGCAACATAAACACCCCCTGAAAATAGATTAGAATTAACTTGTTTTATCCATGGTTTTTCCTGGGTATCATCACCCAGTGGCTCATGCTCACAAGATCCAGTGGCCCATGTGTGCTGGTTCCGAACGTGATGTATTACAGCATGCCACTTCATCTACAGAATTAGGAATCATGTGTGAAGTTGTGTGATCTCACTTGCCTTCTCTTTACAATGAAAACATGTTTTGGTTTACATCATAAATTTTCTTCCTACAGACATACCTTGAACTGCTCTACAGAGGATGCTTGCTTAGCACAGTACCAGAAATGGTTAACACTGTCTCTGATCCAAGGCAAGATTTCAGACTGGTCCCTCACTGTACCAGCCTGAAACAAGGATGTGCTATTGTTAGAAAGTCACCATAAAAATGCTGCTGCTTTTCTGCAAGGTATGAAAATGTAGAAATCATGTCACTAAACAAATAATTCATAATGCAAAAAAAATGCTTACCCGTCTGAGCTTCTTCCCCAGATTTTTAGCGTTGTGCCAAATATCAACGGAATGTTGTAGATGCCATGCCTTGTATTTCCCATGTTCCAGATCTGTGGAAAAATAAGCTTTTAGAGTAACAAATACATCCATCTGAACATCCAGAATATAAATATTACAGCCATTTTCCTTACCCAGTAAAGCTGTAATTTGTGGGTGGGCATCGGTGACCACTTCTGTTATATGCATCTCCAGCAGAAGTGCATCCATTGTTCGGATGAAACACTCCTTCTCCATGATCACAGAGTTCCTGTTTGTTTCACGTTTATCCACAGAGACAGTGTGCACGATGTCTCTAGATTCCTGTTCTATTGTTGTGTAGGTGCAATACTGTGCACAGTGGCCTGCAGAATGCAAATCATAGTGGTCAATATGTGAACTGTGCAAATCAAAATCTCCCACTCACACACATATACAGTACAGGCCAAAAGTTTGGACACACCTTCTCATTCAATGCGTTTTCTTTATTTTCATGACTATTTACATTGTAGATTCTCACTGAAGGCATCAAAACTATGAATGAACACATGTGGAGTTATGTACTTAACAAAAAAAGGTGAAATAACTGAAAACATGTTTTATATTCTAGTTTCTTCAAAATAGCCACCCTTTGCTCTGATTACTGCTTTGCACACTCTTGGCATTCTCTCCATGAGCTTCAAGAGGTAGTCACCTGAAATGGTTTTCCAACAGTCTTGAAGGAGTTCCCAGAGGTGTTTAGCACTTGTTGGCCCCTTTGCCTTCACTCTGCGGTCCAGCTCACCCCAAACCATCTCGATTGGGTTCAGGTCCGGTGACTGTGGAGGCCAGGTCATCTGCCGCAGCACTCCATCACTCTCCTTCTTGGTCAAATAGCCCTTACACAGCCTGGAGGTGTGTTTGGGGTCATTGTCCTGTTGAAAAATAAATGATCGTCCAACTAAACGCAAACCGGATGGGATGGCATGTCGCTGCAGTATGCTGTGGTAGCCATGCTGGTTCAGTGTGCCTTCAATTTTGAATAAATCCCCAACAGTGTCACCAGCAAAACACCCCCACACCATCACACCTCCTCCTCCATGCTTCACAGTGGGAACCAGGCATGTGGAATCCATCCGTTCACCTTTTCTGCGTCTCACAAAGACACGGCGGTTGGAACCAAAGATCTCAAATTTGGACTCATCAGACCAAAGCACAGATTTCCACTGGTCTAATGTCCATTCCTTGTGTTTCTTGGCCCAAACAAATCTCTTCTGCTTGTTGCCTCTCCTTAGCAGTGGTTTCCTAGCAGCTATTTGACCATGAAGGCCTGATTGGCGCAGTCTCCTCTTAACAGTTGTTCTAGAGATGGGTCTGCTGCTAGAACTCTGTGTGGCATTCATCTGGTCTCTGATCTGAGCTGCTGTTAACTTGCCATTTCTGAGGCTGGTGACTCGGATGAACTTATCCTCAGAAGCAGAGGTGACTCTTGGTCTTCCTTTCCTGGGACGGTCCTCATGTGTGCCAGTTTCGTTGTAGCGCTTGATGGTTTTTGCGACTCCACTTGGGGACACATTTAAAGTTTTTGCAATTTTCCGGACTGACTGACCTTCATTTCTTAAAGTAATGATGGCCACTCGTTTTTCTTAAGTTAGCTGATTGGTTCTTGCCATAATATGAATTTTAACAGTTGTCCAATAGGGCTGTCGGCTGTGTATTAACCTGACTTATGCACAACACAACTGATGGTCCCAACCCCATTGATAAAGCAAGAAATTCCACTAATTAACCCTGATAAGGCACACCTGTGAAGTGGAAACCATTTCAGGTGACTACCTCTTGAAGCTCATGGAGAGAATGCCAAGAGTGTGCAAAGCAGTAATCAGAGCAAAGGGTGGCTATTTTGAAGAAACTAGAATATAAAACATGTTTTCAGTTATTTCACCTTTTTTGTTAAGTACATAACTCCACATGTGTTCATTCATAGTTTTGATGCCTTCAGTGAGAATCTACAATGTAAATAGTCATGAAAATAAAGAAAACGCATTGAATGAGAAGGTGTGTCCAAACTTTTGGCCTGTACTGTACATACACACATACCTGGAGAGTCCATTCTGCCATCACCTTGTGAGAAGACAAAGCAAAAACAAACATTACAAAGGTAACAATACATGGTATTTATCAGTAATATCAAATGGCAGGAATTCCAATAGCATATAACTGGCATTTCGGTAATATTCACTGACATTTTATAGATAAAAATCACAGGTGACCAAGGTACCAAAACAAGGTCTCACCATGAACAACAACCTCGTCCTTCTCACGCAAACGGGTCAGAACACCATCTCGGATTTTCTGCCAGAACTCATCAACTGGTTCGATGCAGTAGTTATCCTGGATTTTGAAGAAGGTAGGCTCTGCCACCATCCCCATTTGCATGAAGTGGAAGAGAAATGCCACTTTCCTGTAATTGTTCCCCGATAACAGAATGTTTGTGGAGAGCATGAAGTCCCCCCCTTGCATCCCATACTTCAAAAGGGGCTGTGAATAGATAACAACAAAATGCAAAACACAGTATCGCCCCAACAGACAGAACTATTCTTTGCCTACCCATTCCAAAACAACGCCAGTTCCCCGGGTTTTCATTTCAACATGAAATGGTGGTCTTCCTGGGCATTTTACACCAGTTAGTCTGTCACAGTAGTTGCATGCTTTCATAGGAAACTGCAGATAAGAGATAAGCATCTTCAGGTTGTCTAGACAGGTGATGCAGGCCCTCTTCCCAATCAGGTCATCTTCATGTAAAACTTTGAAGTTGTCAGGCAAATCTGTCATTTCATCGTCTGTGGGGTTGGGGATAGCTGTTTGTGGCAGGAGTCACTCCCCTACTGTCCTGCACCACTCCGCATACTGTTCCATGTGAGTCCTGTGCAATGTGCCTATGCATGTGAGCAAACAGCATGGGACCTTTGGTGAATGGCGCAACACAGTATGTCAGTGTTGTGAAACACTAGGCAAGTGTTGCCGGACAGATGACCAGGAGCTTACACCATCAACCAAAAGTACTACAGCTTTCATTTACAGAAACTCACCTGGCCTCTAATACACCAACTTCTTCTGCCCCAGCGCCTTCTTCCAGCATTTGGACACCCTCTATCGGTTCTCCCCTGAGTCAAAACAGAAAATAGGACATGTTGAAAAATACTAAACGATGCCCAAAACAAACAAATGCAGGCCCTGGGAAACACAAAGTACCTAACATGGTCCGACTCTTCTGTAAAGCTGGAAACTATAGGCTGTAGAGGTTGGAGGTGTTGCTTGTGGGGAGTAGAAGTTACTTGCTTCTTTTGATAACTGTAGAGAAATAACATGTAAGAAATTTATATGGATCAAGAGTAATGCAAGAGAAACACAAAAGTATACACACTGGAAATAAAGGCACAATATAAACATCACACAATGTAATAAAATGCATCATCTATGTTATACTAGAGAATTATAAAATAAGAATAACAATAATTAGCAATACAACATCAAATATAAAAAGACAATAACATGAAAAAAATAAATATGGAACAACAACGTACACAACACAATGTCCAATAGACACACATAACAATAACAAAAATATCTTGTTATCAGACTGACTTGAAGATGTCAAGTTTACTGGCTAACTGAGATTGTAACCTTCAAAGTTAGGTGCTTGGTGCTACTGAAGTGAGCTACACACAGACCCTTCAGGACTGACTAAATAAACGTTACATGTAGAATTTTAAACATGCAACAAACCCTGTAATTTTAGCTACACTCAGCGCAAGGTGCTATTGATAAGCAGGACTATGAAAAGTCATGACTCAATGCACACTGCACACACGGGTTTTGTTTTACTGATTATTTAGAGCAAGCAATGCAGTTTGACTTCTTTTGCAATCACTGTAGTCAACTCAACAAAAACACGACAAGAATCCTGTTTTTCTCTGAAACTATTACATAACAATCATCAGAAACTACTGTCACGTACATACAAACTGACACGATAATACCACATTGATTCAGTATGACTGATCTTTCCACAGTAGGAACCTACATATTTTACTCAAACTTTATATTTGCGGTTTGCAGTCATTGCATTGTTTTTTCTTTATACAGTACTTTTGAGTTTGTTGCGTGGCTGGTCGTGTCAGTGTGGAACTGCGAACTATCAAGCTGGTGGCTATTTATTGCTACAACGCAAATTTCCGATAGCTAACATTAGCATTATCATTTTGATCTGAGCATCGAAAGCTACTTACTAGTCCAGCAGGAACAGAGCCAAGGCAGCATCGGTCAGAAATCCCTCCTCGTCTTTGAGCTCACGCCAGCGAGTGAAAGCCGGGCCAATGTTGATCCTTGACTGTCCTTTTATCCGGGGAGCCTCCCTTTTTCTTTTTTTTGTCTCCTCAGACAAAACTTTTCGTTTCTTTGATTGTTTTGCAGCTTCTGCCATGATAGCAGTAATTGCGCGTAGGCGTTCGCATCGACTTCCGTCTTTGTAACGAATGGGGAAAGGGGGGAGTGACGTATGCCGTAAAGCAGTCAGCACATTTGTAGTTTTTTGTGTGGCAGGGTTACAGCCACCCTCCTCGAAGTTGCTTAGTGCCAGTGAAAGCAATACAGACCCCCTCAGGCCATGACAGAGGTGTCATTCAACTAGTTGTAAGTCGATGTATCATCACAAAAGTTATGAAAATATTTTATGAAGGTTGAAAAGTTACTTAGTGCTGGTTTAAGACTTGAAGTAGATCTTAAAGCAACTTAAGTGAGAAAGCAGAAAGCAGAATTCACCAGAGCAGTACAGAGACGCTGTCACAGAAACACCGAAAATGACACAACTCGCTTACCGCAATACGTCAGCATGTGCTGCACGCTGTATCCGTCAATGTAAACCCGTGTGAGCACCAGCAGCAGCGGCAGCACCAGCCATTCTTTGTCCATCTTTGGCCCTTTCAATGTGAAACGGGCCGTATGACAAAAGTTTGGCTTAAAACAGTGTACTGCATCATTCTACGTCACATAAGTGCAGTTATGACAGTCCAAAAGCAGACAGTGCAGTCAAACTGATTTTATAACTGACGCAAACCCGTGTTGCATCCAGTTAGGAATTGGTGTGAGTCTAAAAACTAAAATATAGCTACTGTAGAACATATGGTCAAATGTTAGGTTGCCTAAATATATGTCTTTTATTTTCGTAATACTTTGACCAGTAGGTGGGCGTAAAAGTTTTTCATCAGATAGAAATCAGTGTCAGTCTTTGTGTCCCTGTAATGATGAGGTAAGTGCTGTGGGCGTCTGCTGACTTAAAAGTTTGAAAAAAGCAGACGCAGAGGCTCAGGTCAGTTAAGCAATTTTTGTGGTATAACTACAGCAGGAGAACAGATGAATGTAAGGATTGATACTGAAATGTGAAAACCATTCATGAGTGTTTGATGCCGTTTAGTTTAGATGAGTTAGACATTTGTGGAAATGTAATTTAGTCAGTATGGTTAGTTTTACCTGCAAACAGCATTATGAATGTTTCACAAGCCAAAAGAAAGATCATGGTAAACTCAACTCAGGTGACATACTTCACATTCACTGCCTACTTTGATACTCGTCATTTCAAATATTTATATTTCATCATTGTCATGTCTCTATATGTTTTAATTATTTGCATTAATCTCTGTCTGATTGTGGTTATCTGTGTGAACAGAAGCTTACATGAACCTATGTACATGTTTCTGTGCAGCCTGTTTGTAAATGAACTGTATGGTAGTACAGGGTTGTTTCCATTCCTGCTGCTTCAGATCCTCTCTGACATTCACACTGTTTCTACCTCCTTTTGTTTCCTGCAGATTTTCTGTGTGCATTCATATGGATGTGTAGAGTTTTCCAACCTAGCCGTCATGTCTTATGACAGATATCTTGCCATCTGTTATCCTCTACAATATAACACACGTATGACATTTAACAAGGTCGTCGTTCTTATTTCTCTGAGTTGGTTACTCCCTCTGATTGCAACTGTTGTTTTGGTGTCATTAATTGGTTCTTTACAGCTGTGTGAGAACATTATCAATAAGGTGTACTGCGACTACCACTCCATCGTTAAACTGGCATGTTATGACACCACAGTCCAGAACATTTATGGACTAATTTACGGCTCTCTCATAATCTCATGTCCTGTATCTTTGGTCTTTTACAGTTATATAAAGATCCTTAAAATTTGTTTTTCTGGTTCTAAACAGACCAGACAGAAAGCTGTCAGCACCTGCACACCTCACCTAGCTTCCCTCTTGAACTTTTCTTTCGGGGTTTTCTTTGAAGTATTGCAGAGCAGGTTTAATATGAACAGTGTGCCCAACATGTTGCGAATCATTTTGTCATTACACTTTCTTACATGTCAGCCTCTTTTCAATCCTGTAATGTATGGACTGAATATGTCCAAAATTCGTAACATATTTAAAAGTCTGGCCCAGTGCGGAAGAAAAGTCTGTCTCTGATTATATTTGTGTCAACAGTAATGACAACTGTACGATTTTTACTTATCCTAAAATTCAAAACTTAATGCAAATTTTCCACAAATGTTTCTTTGTTGCAAAGTTCGAGGCATCTGCAATATGCATCTGCATTCATTTAAAGAGATCTAAAAACAATATGTAGGTTCAGTACAGATAAAATTGTATTTCTGCGAAGTTCTTTAATTTAACTCTGGTATTACGTGTTATTTGTAAAGTGTTAAATCTCCATTCAATCACTGACACAGACCAGCTGTGGAAAATAAAACTCATGACCTCTTACCCTCACCTCTTACACAAATGTAATATATGACCCATATGCCCCTAAATCAAGAGTGATGTTGCCACAAATGTTACCTATAAGGTGATATGGTATTAGCACATACATAATCCTTTGGATGTATGAAGATAGAAGTTTATAACATATGTGAAATACCCACTGTACGTTTTGTGTATTTGCATATTAAAAGCATGTATATGATGAATTTTTATATGATAATATATGCTGCTTTCTATTTTTATGATAAATATTGAATTTATATATTCAGGTTTATGAAAACAACATATATACAAAGTTCTGTGTGTGTATATGTTTTTTCTTATTACTTACATACACATCTATCTTTCATGTGTACATTAATAATATCAACATAAGCTAAGGGATGAATTTTAATGTACAAAACATATATGTGTACAATACTGCCACATATACATACAAGTTCATATAATAAAAACATTACTATGATGAACTTTTAAATGGTATTACATGTTGCTATCATATATTTTAACCAAAAATATTTAAAATTTACAAGTTTTTGAAATCAACATAAAATACCTTTATACATATACATATCTTTAATTGATATGTAATATCAACTTATGTTGTATATATGCTTATTTCATAAACTTCTATATATTGATTAAATCTTTATTGTTAAATATACGATAGCAACCTATAACACCATCAAATAATTCATCACATAAATGTTTTTTTTTTAATATTTGCACAAATATATTCATCCAACGCCCATCAATATGTTCTTATTTATGTTAACATAAATGATATACATGTATGGGAAAATTAATGACATATATAAACATACTGAATTTCTGTGTACATGTTGTTTTCATAATCTTGTGTATATATAATAAACATTCATCATTAAAATATATGACAGCAGCACGTAATACTGTCAAAAAATTCAGCGTATAAATGTCCTTAATATATGTATAAATGCTTATTCCGTAGACATATATGTTTTGTACATATGAATTCATTCCAAAACTCATCAATAAATGTTTATATTTTACACTGAAGATAGATGTAATTGTCGAAAATTAATAATAGAAAGATATACACATACAGAATTGTTGTGTATATATATATATATTATTTTCATGAATTTGCATATAAAAATTAACTATATGTCCTTAACATAAATGGTTACACCATAGATTAATGCATAAAAACTCATGCTATACATATTTTTAACAAATATGTTACAGTATATGTTTATATTGTAGACATAAATGTTTTATACAACAATGTTCATCCTAAAGCCCATCAACATATATTGATATCATATAAAAGATGATGTGTGGGTCAAAAGATAAATAAAACAACACATGCATACAGGTTGTATAGGCTTTATGTATTTTTCATGAGCTTATCTAAATTTTATATGATTTTTGGAATAATCATTTACATACATACAGGTTGTATATTTATGTATGTGTTGTTAACAAATACAAATGTAGTCAATAAAGGTTCATTGATAATAGCTGTGATTCTACTCAAAACCCACAATAATTACTACAAAGACATGTTAATTATCACTGCTCACTGGTCTGTATAGTTAAGCCTTGCCATAATAAGTTATCATAGGGCTTAGGAGGTTCTTCACTGAGTGCTGATCCTTTCTCTAGAGCACAAACTTCTTGTGTTTATTTGAATTCAGAACTAGCCCAGCTAGTGACTGCTGTGAATAGGGCAGCTGACAACAAGGGAAAGATCAAGAAAGACAGCTGATAGGAGGGAAAAGACTCCAAAGTTGCTGCCATGGGCTAGCAACCCATGGTAGCAGTGGTGAGGCCTAGCAGCCTTACTACAACCAAAATTAGCTACAGCCAACATAGGGAAAATATCCCAAGAGTCAGCGAGAGCAGGGGTGGAAGATGACTCACAGGTGGATTCCACGGAAACAGACATTGGAACGGACATGACTATGACTTGGATCTGTGACTCAGTGAAGGATAGGGGCACGGACCTATCCACCAGGGCTAGAATTAGCAGCACTCAGGGCAAGGTGAGCGCATCTGTAGAGGATAAAAGTAGCACAGTTGAGAACAAGATGCTTCAGGTTTGTCCTTGTGGCTGGCAGAAAGTAACATCTCTAAAAGGCCTCAGAACTCATCAGGGAAGGAAGAAGTGTGTGGCAAAGAAAGGACAGAGTAGCCGCATTGATCAGTACTTCCTAAGAAGTCAGTTGAGTCAGTCGGATGAAGTCCAGCGGCAGGTAGAAAACCACAGTTTGTAGGATATCAGTAACACTGCCACTGAGCAGGAGGAGGAGGAGGAGGAGGAGGAGGGGGAGGAGGAGGAGGAGGGGGTAGTAAGAGAGGATGCAGGTGACACTGAGGTCAGTGTGCCAGCCAGAGAGAGAACCATGGAGCAAAAGGTTAGAGTTAGATGGCCTAGGGCAGATGACAGTAAAGAATGGGAGATAGTTAATAGAGATTTGTCAGTAATCTTGAGTAGGCTTAGAGGAAATGCAATAGAAAGGTTAGAAAAGATGGGAGATATAATTTACTCATATGGTGCAGAGAGGTTTGGGGTGCATGAGAGAAAGAGGAGTGAGAGGGTACAGTCAGGCAAGTCTAGGTGGCAAAGAGAAATAGAGAAGTTAGTTAAGGAAAGGAGACATTTAAGAAAGGTGTGGAGAAAGGCTACAGAAGAAGAAAGGGAGGGAATTAAGGTGTTGCAAGAGGAGTTGAGAAGCAGGCTAGCAGTTCTTAGAAGGGCAGAGCATCTCAGGAAAAAGGGGAGAAAGAAGGAATATGCTAGGACAGGTTTTTTCAGAGACCCTTTTAAGTTTGTTAAAGGATTGTTCAGCCAGGAAAAGGGAGGGCAGCTTAAAGCAGAAAGGCTAGAGGTTGAAGAATATTTGAAAAGTATATATTCAGATT